GCTCCCCAGCTCTCCAAAAGGTATAAATGACCGTCTCATGACGTTGAAAATCCCCCTCTGCCATGGAAAGAAGTCTGCTACCTTAGTCAGTGCCTATGCACCCACCATGACAAACACAGAAGAGACCAAAAACAAATTCTAGGAAGACCTGAAGACTGTTATCTCTTCCACACCGTCTGCTGACAAACTCATCATACTTGGTGATTTCAATGCACGTGTCGGAAGTGACTACACCTTCTGGGGGTAGTGATTGGGAAGCATGGTGTTGGAAAGAGCAACAGCAACGGCCTACTAATACTGCAGACTTGTGCTGAACATGACCTTCTAATAAAGAACACCACCTTCAGCATGCCAACGCGCAACCGGACCTCCTGGATGCACCCCCGTTCAAAACACTGGCACCTAGTCAGAAATAGGGACCGCCAGGACGTGAGGTTGACTAAGGCGATGTGCGAGGCAGAATGTTGGACGGATCATTGCCTCATCGTCTCAAAGATGAAAATTCATATCCAACCTAAGAGACGACCTCAGGCCACGAAAGTTCCGAAACGCCTCAACATCAATAGGCTGAAGACCCCTGATGTGAGACAAACATTTGTTGACAGCCTAGATCAACGCCTTGATACAATCACACTGGACAACCAGGACGCGGAAAAAGCGTGGACCACGATTCGTGAGACGGTCTACAATACAGCCGCTGAGCGCCTCGGACCCTCTACGAGGAAACACAGGGACTGATTTGACGAAAACAACACAGCGATCCAAATTCTTCTTGAGCAAAAACGCCGAGCGTACAAGGCCCTCCATGATGACCCAATGTCAACAACAAAGACAGCTGCACTTAGGGGCATCCGCAGCAAGGTCCAGATACAGCTGCGCCAGATGCAAGATTCCTGGTTGAATTCAAAAGCTGATTAAATACATGGCTTTGCAGACAAGAAAGACATGAAAAACTTCTACCGTGGCCTGAGAGAAATCTATGGTGTTTCCATCCCACGCTCTTCCCCTCTCCTTTGTGCTGATGGTTCTACGCTCATTACAGACAAAGAGAAAATCTTGGAAAGTTGGGCGGAACACTTTGAAAGTGTGCTCAATACACCTTCCATCATTAATGATGAGGTCATTGAAAGACTCCCCAGGTCCCAACGAACAATTCACTGGACGCCGTCCCAACTTTTGATGAGATACAGACAGCGATCCTCCAAATGTCCAATGGCAAAGAACCTGGCCCCGACAAGCTTCCTGCTGAAATCTACAAGGAGGGTGGACCAGCGCTGACGGATAAGCTATTGCGCTTATTCCAATTCATCTGGCAGACGGAAACTGTACCACAAGACCTCAAGGATGCCTCAATTATCCACCTGTACAAACACAAAGGAAACCGCCAGGCATACGACAATCACCGCGGAATTTCACTACTGTCCATTGCAGGCAAGATCTTGGCCCGAGCCCTTCTGAACCGCCTGAATGCACATATGGAGCTAGGTCTCCTACCCGAAAGTCAATGTGGTTTCCGCAAAAAACGTGGAACCATCGATATGGTGTTGGCTGCTAGACAGCTTCAAGAGAAATGCCAGGAACAAAATACAGACCTATATTCTACATTTATCGACTTTAATAAGGCCTTTGACAGGGTCAATAGAGGTGGCTTGTGGAAAATCATGAAGAAATACGGATGCCCAGAAAAGTTCACCAACATCATCCGTAAGCTGCATGATGGTATGATGGCCCGAGTTCAGGACAAAGGTCAATTATCTCAAGCATTCCCCGTCACAAACGGTGCAAACAAGATTTGTGTTCTTGCTCCCACACTCTTCAGTATTATGTATTCCGCAATGCTGTCTGATGCGTTAAAGGACCTCACCACGGGCTTGCCAATCCAGTTTCGTACTGATGGATCAGTATTTAACCTTAGGAGGCTTCAAAATAAAACCAAGGTCAAACATACCACGAACAATGAGCTTCTGTTTGCAGACGATTTTGCCCTCAACGCTCCCTCAGAAGCGGTCATGCAACAAAGCGTTGATGTCTTCTCTGAGGCCTGAAATAACTTTGGCCTCACAATCAACACAAAGAAGACTGAGGTGATGTATCAAATGAATGTATTAAATAAATCGCAGACTCGCAAAAGCTGGTGCCCTATTTGGCAGGCTCCGCAGCACTGTTTGGGACAGGAGAGGTATCAGACGAGAAACAAAGCTCAAGGTCTATAGCGCAGCAGTCCTCCCGACACTGCTCTATGGATGTGAAACGTGGACAGTCTACCAGCGCCACGCCAAGAAACTGAATCATTTTAACACTACCTGCCTCAGGAAACTCCTTGACATCAGGTGGCAAGACAAAGTTCCCGACCACGAGGTCCTCGCTAGAGCGAACCTACCTAGTATCTTCACCATTCTGATGCAGTCTCAGCTCCGTTGGATGGGACACGTATGGAAGACCACCGGCTCCCGAAACAATTATTCTTCTGAGAAGTCACAATAGGCAAGCGCTCCCAAGGAGATCAAAAAAAGCGTTACAAAGACTCACTGAAAGTGGCACTAAATGCTTTCAGCATAAACCCTACTCAATGGGTGCAGACAACCCAGGACAGAGCCAGGTGGAGAGCTGGTGTCAAGAAGGGGGCTAAATCCCATGAAGCTAATAGAATAACCACAGATGAGACACGCAGGCTTGTCTGAAAGAGCAATATTAGGTCACCGTCTGAAGCAACTATTCCATGCCCACAGTGTCATAGATTATTCTAGCAAGCCACCTAGAAGCTCACCGTAATCCCAACCTCCCCCTAACCGGATGATTCGATGGTCCTAGTCGACTTCGACGGACGAGCAGAAACAGATACCTCAGAGATACTTATTCGCTGTATTTTGATTTGAGAAAGCAAGGTAATATCACATAAATTATTGTGTATCTCCTTTTTGTCTTATGTTCGTTTTGAAAGATTATATTTAATTTAAAAAAAAAAAAAATCTTGGTATTGATATAAACTTGAAAAGGCCCTTAAGTGAATGTATTCGAGGGCATTTCATTCAGGGGTGGACTGGTCTGCCATGACACCGGGAAAAATCCAGCGGTCCCCTTGCTGGTGATACTTTTCATAACTCTTAGAGACACTTGCTTCTTGCCAGTGAAATTAGGCGTATCTATTAGACAACTTTTATTATAATGTGCGTGTTACAGCTCTAGTAACATATTTTTGTACCTGGCTGATTGGACCATCCCGTCCACCACGTGATTTCCTAGATACATTTAGGCAGACATTTGTTAACAGACACTGGACGGGTGTTTGGAAGCCTACTTAATTTCAATTTTACCTGCCGGTGTGGGAATTCATCGTCTGATATCAAACACCGAATAAACAGACTAATCAAGAAAGCTAGGAGCATAACACAAACTTAACATCCTTCACTTGAAGAACTATTAGAAGAAAGATGTTATTGTAAAACCAAAAAAATTTGGATGATACATCCCACACTCTTCATCAAAGATACTTAGAATCGGCCCATTCGGAACGAATTCTTTCTCTCAGGGCGAGGACTGAAAGATATAAAAATTGTCGCCCCCCCCCCCCAATATGTCTTAATTTACCAGCGTGCTCCCCCACAGGTCACACATCTAATTGAGAACCACTAAGTCCCTGTTAAGGGCGTTCACTGAATGCCTTTTTTTCTTCTTTTTTTTCCCCTCAAAAGGGACATAATTTAATGTAGATGTTTTGTGTTGAAATATGTGGACTTTATGAAAATATATATTTATTTATGTGCTGAAAATGTAAATGTACAATGCAATAAAAAAACCATTTCAATTTGTTTGGATCAATAAAAGAATCTTGTCTTATCTTATCTTATCTTATCTTATCTATGATGTACACGTTTTTTTTTGTTTGGAGACTTACGGTGGTTAGCTTTATTACATTGTCCAACGCTGTCCTCACTAATAAGAAGGAAACAAGACATGTTTTCCTAACGCTAGAAGGGCGAATGATGACATAAAATAAATTAACATTTCCAACAGTCGTTATTCCTTAGTTACTCAATTTAATTATTTAATTTTTATTTTTGCACATCAATGTGTCATTAACTATCCATCCACAGGTGTCCCATTTCCGCATCCTTTTTTAATAGGCCTATATATATATCTGGTATCTTCTGTTTATTTTGAAAAAATAAATAATGTAAACTTCTGACGTCACAAAGTTTGCACTAAGATAGTCTCATCAATTTATAACAAACCACGAACATGGACAGATCATTTTCAACACGGACTGCGATGTAATTGCTAGAAGTTAACGTTATTTATTATTTCCCCTTTAATCCGACGTGTATTCTTTCCTTGTGAACATCTCGACCTCCAGGTCCCCGGCCTTGGTGTCTTCCCCGTCCTTCTCGTAGCTGGTGTCGTCGAACCGCTCCACCGTCTCGCCCATGGACAGCCTGTTCTTGAAGCTGTCCATCTGTTTCTGCATGGTTCGCTGATTCGCTCGCATGGCAAGGGTCTGCTTGGGATACGAGGAGGTAGGTAAATTTAGAATTAATTTAAAAAAAAAAAAAAAACACTAGAAGATATGACCCTATGTTACTGGGATGTTAATGGAAGTCGTTTTGGTATATTTTCTAATGCTATTGCAAAGTCTCGACATCTAATATTTGAATTTTAGCTGATATAACTGAATCGTGTTTTTAATGCTTTGTATCTTCAAAGAAGAAAACAGCGCAAAACTAAAATGCATCAACACAAGGTCAAAGGTTATTACATCTTTCAAATCATTTGAAATATATGATTAGAAAATAGTTTATCAGACTTTCCTTATATAAAAATGAAATATATAATATGTCTTAAGTTAAGGTTATCTGCTATATAATATGGGCTTACCGTAACCCTCTGTTTGCGCCCCTGAGCTACACACACACACACACACACACACACACACACACACACACACACACTCACACACGGACAGACATGTAAACGTCTAAATTAATTGCATCAAAATCTACATATAGATTTACAACAACAAAATCGATTTATTCCATTTGAAATATCTTTAACATTTACGGTATTTGATGTGGCGGTCTCGACATTAAAACTTCAACCCAACTTTTGACTCGCTTCACTGCTATATTATCAGAAGATCGTAAGACACGGGTTTCTTTAACCTAAAGAAAAATCTCTTGATCAGTTTTCTCTTCTGTAAGTGACTTGAGTTTTATAACAAATAAAGTCATATGTTATTATTCTCATTAAAAAAATCTAAAACAACTTTTCCATGAACTTTATCATTCGAAAAGTGTGTGTGCGTGTATAAAAAAAAAAGGTTTGGAGGAGGAGGGGGAATATTTCATATATTGAGAGAAAAATTTAATATTTCTTTTTTTCGCAACCCTGAACAGTATAGCGATAAAAAAAAAATTAGGACACCTTTTTAAGATTAAACTTCTGGGTGTGTGAAGTGATTGGGCTTTACGATATTTTTTGAGGTAAAGATATACTTCTGTCAATGTACCCACTAGTTGTCAACGCCCTAATTGTAATTTCCTAATTTTATATTTTGTATGATTGTAACACTGTCACATATATAGATATGAATATATGGGAGATAAGTAATATGGGAGTAATTACTTATGTAATATAAAGAGTATGGGGACTTGGGGGGAAACTGGCCAATCAGGGAAGGAAAACAAAGAGACAGAGAGGCAAGATGGAAGTGGAATATATGGTTGCTTGAATTCATGAAGATATAGAAGACGGTTGAACAGTTTGTAAATGTGTTGATACATTATGAAGTTGAAGAAGTAGAGAAGATTATCCAGAGATGCCAGTAATTGAAGTATTGGGAGTGCTATGATAGCAGTTCCAGGTATGTTCGTATTCTCATGAGATGCATTTCGTATTGTGTCTGCGTGGCGTGCAAGTATAACAGATCAACTCGCTATTATTTAACCACTTCGCCTCCGTTACGGTTGATGTCGAGATTGTGATTGTGATTGTGACAGACACCATGGCCTTTAAAGACAATGACATCCACAGAAAAGTAATGTACGCACCCTACCCCCCCCCTCTATGAGGTTAATTATTCATTGAATGCGCTGCTCTATATTGAGGCATATCTCGTGCTGCCTGTGGCATAACAAAAGAATCGCGACACCCCCCCCTCCCTGCTTTTAACAAACATTAAGTCAATCTCCCACGGGATGAGAACCCCTTTTTCGCAAACGCACACTTTTCGCAGACCACTGGACTGACGAAATGCCCCACCCGCTTCTAACACACACTGTTTTGCATTTTCTAAAAACATAGTGTTTAACCCCCCTAATTCCGTATATTTATAAATTATGGTTATTTATAGTAACAATTCTTACGTACAAAAATAAATGTACTGAAATGTAAGCAGATAAATTTGATCTTTATAATATTTAAATTAATTCGACTTCAGCAACACAATTGAAAAAACACCTAATACAAACGTACTTGTATGTGTATTCGTTTCTTTAACGTTATTTGGCCACATAAGCCTTTCTTATATGTAGTGGAATCAATGTGACAAAATGGTGGACACTAATCTCTCTGGGTCAATAATGTCAAGGTGACACTAATATCATGGGGTCACTATTGTCAAGGTGACACTAATGTCATGGGGGTCACCATTGTCCAGCTGACACTAATGTCATGGGGGTCACCATTGTCAAGGTGAGGTGACACTAATGTCATGGGGTCATTAATTTCGTGCGGTCACTAAAGCCGTGTGATTGCCGGGGGGGGGGGGGGTGTCAAGTGATCATTAAAAGTTCAATAGCGCCTGACATTCAAGGTCATGTAATTGTCATTGCCATGTGACTTGTGCTGCAGAGTTATCGATATGCCAATCATCCGCATACTTTACGTGGTCATTACTCTTATTTGAACACATGCTCTTGACATTTGTGACACTGACATTACCGATCATTACCCGATACGTCTCTAAAAACAACAACACCGCTGTCATGTAGTTAAGTAAATGTGGACACTGAAGCAGCGTTCAAGGCTTTGAAACTAACGACATGCACTGGGCATCGTTGGGCATCGTACTCTCACGATTACAGTCTGCTTAACTGTCACGTTGTCACTGTCACCAGGACGTGATACGACCACAAAGCAAATGGTCACGCCGACAAACTTCAGACCTGAAGGAAGTATTTGTCCAGCTGCTGCCTGATCCAGTAAGGCGTGTAGAGAATGATCAGAAAGGCCAGGGTGCCGTAGATGAGGAAGCTGACAGCCTCATAGCACAGAAGGGAGGGAAACACATCGGTTGCACTTGTCATGGAGGCTTGCTGGGCGTCTCTGAGGTGGAGGAGAGAGAGAGAGAGAGAGGTGCTTTTTAGATGTAACGGTCAGTCTAACAAAAGGTACCAATGATGTTTGTCTTTAATTTTTTTTGTTGGTTGTGACATGTTTGAAGATTGGCGGAGAGGTTGGCGGAAAGGTTGGCGGTGAGGTTGGAGGCCAGGTTGGTAAACAGGTTGGTGGAGATGTTGGCGAAAAGGTTTGTGGGGAGGGAGGTGGGAGGTTGGCTGAGAGGTTGGAGGAAATGTTGGTGGAGAGGTTTGTGCATAGGTTGGAGGAAAGTTTTGTGGAAAGGTTTTCGGAGAGGTTTTCGGAGAGGTTGGAGGAAAGGTTGGTGGAAAGGTTTGTGGAGAGGTTGGAGGAGAGATTGGTGGAAAGGTTTGCAGAGAGGTTGGCATAGAGGTTGGCGGAGAGATTGGCAGAGAAGATGCATTCAATATGCGCTGGGAAATGCATTACTTTTATATTTTTTTCTTATTTCTAGACTAAACTTTCTAATGAGTAAAAATAAACAAGAGCAACAACAATAATCCAAATCCAAGCAAGCATTATCCTATAAGTTATTAATAGTGCTGATATTAATTAGGAATTCATTGACCGAACTGAGTAAAGTGTTGCATTGGCAGCCTCCTCAGTCTCAAGGCATTGCAATCCCTTATATGTTTACTAAGATAAACCTCTGGCAACCCTCTCAACCTCAAGGCATAGCAACCCCTTATATGTTTACAAAGATAAACCTCTTGAGCCCACCTAGCTCTGACAGCGCTCACGAAGAAAGATCTGCAATACCAAAGAATCTTCTACATAGAATTATGTGACTCATCATCGTTGTCAATCGCGAAGGTTGTGCCTGCCATGGATTTGCCTGCTCCCAAAACATATGGGCCGATTGCTTTATAACCCATTCAGTACACTTCCGCATTCATCGACATAGAATTGGCGTCCAATGGCGATGCTTCATCAGATATGACGCACAATTTTTCTTCGGGAATATATCTCATAAGAGTGTGTGCTTACATGATCTCCAGCGAAACCGATATGTGTGAACATTTATATCTTGTTAATGTACGGTTAATGAAATATGCGATTAGATAAGATTATTGTATTGATCCAAACAAATGGAAATGTTTTACGATTGCATTATACGTTTTCAGCACATAAATTTTAAAAAAAAATTTGAACACAAGACGTTTATAATAAATTAGTTCAAACAGCCATTCAGTGAGTTCTCTTAGTCAAAAGCGGGGACTTATTAGTTCTCATTAAGATGTGTGACTTCAGAGGAAGCACGCTGGTAAATTCGTACAGATTGGGGAACAAAGGAATTTTTATATCTTTCACTCCTCGCCCAGATGGAAAGAATTTGTCCCAAACGGCCCGATCCTAAGTATCTGTGATGAAGAGGGTGGGATGTATCATCCAAAATGTGTTTAGTTTTACAAAAACATCTTTCTTCAAATAGTTCTTCAAGTGAAGGATGCTTAGTTTGTGTTATGTTCCTAGCTTTCTTGATTAGTCGGTTTATGCGGTGTTTAATAACAGACGTTGAATTTCCACACCAGCAGGTAATACTGAAATTAAACAGGCTTCCTTCCAATTGTTGCACTGTAGAATAATTTAACGACTTGTTTGTTTACGCCGAAATTGTACAGTTTTTTGAGGTAGAACAGTCTTTGGTTGAATTTCTTATACAACATTAGACCGTGCTCATGCCATGATAGCTTATTTTTAATGGTGACACCTAAGTACTTGCATGCCTCCACTTTCTCTACTCTTTGATTTTATATTTTGAGATCTGTAATCTGGTGTTTTCCCCGCCTGAAATCAACAACCACTTCCTTTGTTTTTGAGACATTCATCTGGAGAAAATGTTCATCGCAGCAGGTTGATAAAGCTCGTAACTAAGTTGCGGTACAGGCCTTCTCCTTCAGATATTAAGCCAATGATGGTGATGGTATCATCAGCAAATTTTAAGATTGGAACGGTGTCGCTGGCTTTTAAAGTTCATTTTTTTTTAAAATTTGACAAACTACATTTGACATATATCTTATCACTAACATTTTTTTTTAAAATTCTAAAATATGTTCGATTCCATTTTCAGCGAACAAATACAAGTAAAATCCATAAACACTTACTTGCAATGTAGTATTGGTGAGGGCAGTCGTCTCGGATATTACATTGCAGCTAAATGTTTATTTTTTAGTTTTTTTAAAATCGTTTTTACTGTTATTTGTTAGCTGAAGAAGGCGTCTTGCAAATAGGTTCGTCGTCCTTTTTTCCCCCAGGTCTTTTCAATAATTTGTTTCGCTCATTTCCTTTGAGTAAATTAATTCAGCAAACTCACACGATTGAAAAATAAATGCAAATAACAGTAAAACATAATTTCAGATGCCGCAAAGGCGTCCTGGAAGCAGTAGGCCCGATTTGCTAGAACAGGTCATTCATTACATGTGGACTCCATTGCTGAACCAATGTAAAAATATGTCGGCAAAATAAAAAAAAATAAAATGAAAATACAAAATTACATCAATGTTTCACCTATACAACCAACAAATAGACCAACAAGTAGTCCAACAAGTAGACCCACCGGTTGTAGCTCGATTTGCTAGAACAGGTCATTCATTACATGTGGACTCCATTGCTGAACCAATGTAAAAATATGTCGGCAAAATAAAAAAAAAATAAAATGAAAATACAAAATTACATCAATGTTTCACCTATACAACCAACAAATAGACCAACAAGTAGTCCAACAAGTAGACCCACCGGTTGTAGCTTGATTGGCAGCACACAGCTGACATCATACAACTAAATGTCAAAAAAATATTCCTAAAAAAATCGTAGCATACTTCTTGCTGACCCTGATACCAGCAGGCTTTTCTCATCCCCTCCACTGATTGTCTTTAGTCGGGACAGAAATCTAGGTGATCTTCTGGTTCATAGTCGCATTCGATCTGAACCGTCTTATGTTGGTACTAAACCATGTTTAAGAGGCCGCTGCAGGACTTGTCCCTTTACACTCCAAACTGAAAGCATTAGCCTCCCTAAAGGTACCTTTACCATTAAAGAGGGTTTCACCTGTGTCAGCCGTAATGTAATATATGCGATTGTTTGCCGTAGATGCCAATCTAGTTACATAGGTGAAACTGGGAGAGGATTGGCTGATAGGTTTACTGAACATCCAAAGGATATTGAGCAGTGTAAACCTTCCCCAGTCTCTTCTCATTTCAACAGAGATGAACATAAAGGTGCATTGGATGTAACCATTACGGCACTGATTTCATGCAGTAACACACCAGAGAGGATTAAAAGGGAAAATAAATTTATTCAGCTGTTTGGCACCATATCTCCATATGATATTAATCAAATAATATCCTTCTGATGTTTCTCTGTTTTCCTATATTTCATCTATTTTATTATTGCTGTGAGTTGATGTATCCCTGGATATTCTGGTCCATTATTATTGTGGACTTCATTTTTCACGGTGTCAATATTTATATTCTCTCACTTCCTGTGTTCCCACTTCCGGCGACACGAATGGATACTTCTTGAGTTGTCTACTGAGCTCTGTTCTTTGTTATATTTTCATTTCTACTGTTGGCTGAGGAAGGCTTTATGCCGAAACGTCCTTTTTTTTTGTCCTGTTATCTTATTCAAGCTTCACACATACCTCGATTTGCTATTTTATTCATTTACTAAGCTTGAAAGCAGTCCTTTCATTTATATTCACTTTTGTTCGCGGCTTGCAGGTAAAAATCCTCGCGCGGTTATCTGATATACTTCCCGCCAACCTAATCGAGCTTAAACTTGGCACATAGACTCGTTGCCATGACAACACATTCTTTCAAAGTTCAGTCCCACCCTCCAACTCTTACCATCCAAAGATAAGTTTTTCCTGTTTTTCAAGAGGAAGAGAGAAAAAAAAAATCCACACTGATTTCACGAAATGAAATTCCCGATGACTGCGCTAAATGGGATTCTTTAAAAACAATTTTTTTTTTTAAAATCGCAGATGCGTTTGGTGTGAAATAATTTCTTTATTTTTCTGAAACAGTTTTTGAAATAAATCTGCAGTGCAAAAGCGGGTGGGACAGATTAATAGAGTTCCGGGGCGTGAGGAAATGTGCGGTTGCGGGCCTTGTTTTCAGCCCCACCCCTCATTTTGCCCCATATTACATTTTTATAAAAGATTTATACAGAAAACAAACTATGTTTACGGGTTGTTTAAATATAAGTTGTGTTTATTTTGGCAACTATGGAGTTTAATAAATTCAAGGTAAACGAACTGCTACAGGAATTAGCTATTTGTTTTTTCTCACTGTTGGTTATAATTAAATTATGTATTTTATTTTCTTTCTTTTTCTTTTTTTTTTTTTTTTTTTTTTTTTTTTGTTTTTTTTTTCCGGAATTTTTTTTTTTTTTTTTTTTTTTTTTTTTTTTTTTTTTTTTTGTTGGCTGCTATTACCGGAAGTCATTCTTTTTTTTTAAAAAAAAGGCCCACCAAAGCTTCCGGTTTGTAAGCCCCGAATGATGAGGGCCAGCAATAGATAAATAAAGGAACACGAAGTTGTGAAATTTCTTGTAAGTTTATAGCTAAAATAAATAAAATACAATGTATGCCTTGTAGTGAAATTTAAACAGTTGATTTTTCTGTTGATAATAAAGCAACTGTGATTTATTTTGAACAATTCGCTCGGTCTACGACAGCAGAGTCTGGTAACCCAAATGCGTACCGAGCATTGCCCCTTATTACAGCAGGGACCCCACCTGCCGGCACTGGCGCATAGTCCCAGACACTCTAGCGCATCTGTTGCCCGATGGTCCCTCACTAGAAGTTTCAGGGGGGGCGGGGGCGGGCAGGGGGGTGGGAGAGCCCTGCGCGAAGACAATGTTATGTGGCTCAGCTCAGCAGATGGAGCTGCTTGCCAATATGCTAGCCCAGGCTGTAAGAGAATAATCTCAATCCTCGAAAGAAAATGTGCGTTAGTTAGTCGCAATTAAAATTGTTTCCTATAGTCTTATAAGACTACGCCTCACTCAAACAAACTGCATAAGCTTACAAGGAAAGAATGTGGAAAAACTATAAAGAGATGATTGTGATTTAACATATGACTATCTAAGTTAACCTACTGGAATATGGATATCGAAATGTACACCATTTGAAAGTCCAACCCCCCCCCTCCTCCGGTCCCCTCCCATGTGACGTTTCCTCAATACATTTCAGGTACTTCAGTTTCCCTTAACGACATGGGTCATTAGTTGAAGTATGCGCCTCTTGAGCATTTTCCCATCACCGTCCTCCACTGATTAGACATTACTTGAAGCCGACCGGTCCCCACTCGATGTGTTCAGTCATGGATGTCCACGTCACCGCCATGGTCATCGGGCTCCACGCGCAGTCCCACCTCCCGTCCGGTTGGTCGAGCTTCCTTTTTGGCGTGGCTGGAGCCGCCCTGTACGCCTTCTACGAAGTCTGGCCAAAGTAAGACATTGGGCACAACCAGATTTATAACTGAAGACAGAATCAATAGTTAGCATTAGCAGTGTGTTTCGGGCGAAGTCTGAAGAAAAAAATAAAATATTTAATTATAGCGTAGTCTGATATATTTATTTATTTAGGCATTTTTTATATAGCGCTTACCTTAAAGCTCTAAGCGCTTTACAATTATTAAAAACATGTAAACTAAGCAAAATAAAAATGAGACACTAGGATAGTAACTACTATACTATAGAAACAATTAAAATGGCTATAAAACGAGGACACTTTGGCACGTTTTGGCCTATACTACAGGATCAACCCGAGACAGAAAATGAGGCAGGGCAAAAGGGTGCATCACAGGTCATAGGCGGACCTAAACAGATGTATTCAGTATGTTGTGTTACTTTTTCAATGTTGCGTTTATTCATGCAAATAATGCAATACATTGTCAAC